TAAAATGGACAATTTTCCTTGACAAGGAAATATTGTCAAGGACAAAATTTGCTCATGTAAATGGACATTAGCTCCCAGTCTATTCGCGCGATCACTTCACAACAAACAAAATGGCGTTCTCAGGCCATAATATTTTCCAGGAGCAAAAGCACCCCAAGTCCATAAGCAACAAGTCTTCTCTGCTTTCTCCTCTCATATATGTACGCCATTTTGTTTGTTGTTGTTGATGTACTCCGTTGACATAAAGATAGTGCAGGCACAACCAAAACTTGTCAAGGAAAACTTGTTCTTCGTTTATGTTGTGGTTTGAAATGTGCCTTGGTTTGAAATTTTTTAAACTGGTTTGAATTTTTCAAACCAGTTTGAATTTTTCAAACTGGTTTGAAATTCCAGTTTAAAGTTTTAGGTTTTGGGTTAATATTGGGGAAGGCTATAATTGAAGGGCTGGGTGCGAAAACGGCCTAAGTGACGATTCAAGGTATTTTTGAAATTATTATTACTTCAATCGCTTATTTTCAGTCTAGATAATCTTATTTAGCAACTTATTTCTCCTGATTTATTTCTAAAAAGAGCAAAAACAGACCCATAGTTACAGACTTCTTTGACTTGACAAGTGATCGCTAGACCGTAAAATATCCCAGATTTGCATATTCAAGTTAACAACTCGTGACTTTGATAGTTGGTTTGTCGGCCGTTTGTTTTGCTGTGCTGCAAGAAGTCGAGAAATGCTTTGTTTCGCGGTTTTTTCAGCCTTTTTGCCTTTAGTCACTACTCTACGAACATCATTAAGTTTGTAGTTAGCGAAGGAGCTTACTTGATGAAAGAATCCAGCTTGGTGTGTGACTTTTTAAGAGATTTTGATTCCGCGGTTCATTTGATTAACTTGGACCTTCTCTTAAAGAGAATCACTTAAAAGACYGTCTAAAGGCAAATCCTTGGAACTTCCACAGTAATTTTTGGATGTTTTGGCTATTGAGGAACACAATCAACTTGAAATTTTGGCAGAATTCCGAGAAGGCTGAAGACTTTCTATAAATTTCTATTTTGGAGGTGATGGAATGTCAGCTGTCGCGGCATGTAAAAAAACTCCAAGCATTCATTACATGGAAGAATCCGGTTAAAACATGTGTTCTGAATCAGTGTCCAAAGAGAAAGCCGTAGCTTGAGATGTTTATGGAAAATTTGAAAAATAGAATGCTTAAATGACAGACGTAGGACTGAATTTTGGTACAAACAGTTATTCGCTTGTTTAAATTTAGAATGTTGTAGTAAACAACGACAACAAAATAGTGCTTTTTTAGTCACTGTAGGTGAGAATTAGCGTCACAACTGCCCTTTTTTCGCGTAATTTTTGTGACTTCAACTGCCGCTTGACTGGCTTTTCAATGTCAAAATGAGTAGCTAAGTCATCCATGCTGTTTACTGTTTAAGTGATTATATCCAAACTTCAAAGTTTGGACTCAGGGGAAGGGGGGGGGGGGGCGTGTGTGTTTGCTTTCAAAACTCAGATTTTAGAGCCTAGCCCTTAGCTAACGTTAACCCTACCCTACCCTAACCCCAAGGTACTAGAATTATAGCCTTCCCCAATATTAACCCTAAACCTAACCCCAAGGTACTAGAATTATAGCCTTCCCCAATATTAACCCTAAACCTAACCCCAAGGTATTAGAATTGAAGGGCTGGGTGCAAAAACGGCCTAAAGTGACGATTCAGGGTATTTTTGAAATTTTCAAAAAATGGAAAAAAAACACATCCTATCATTTGTTTCTGGTCTAAATAATCATGTTTGCTAGTTATTTCTTGTGATTTCTTTAAAAAAAGGGCAAAAAAGCTCATTACGTACTGTACCCTCCCCTCCTCCAAACTTTAGCTTAGGGTTAGTTTCAGCCTTATGCACTAGGGTTAGGGTTCCTGTAACCTAAGACAGGGTCTAGGGTTCCTTGATTTAGGGTTAGGGTTAGGGTTAGGGTTAATATTGGGGAAGGCTATAATTCAAGTACCTTGGGGTTAGGTTTAGGGTTAATATTGGGGAAGGCTATAATTCTATAACTTTCTTTCATTTCTATATCGTGTTTATCATAGTGCCATGCGGTCTTCATATTCATA